AAAAAAAAAAAAAAAAGAAGTGACCTTTGGTGAGGGGGTGAGGTGGGTATTTGGAAGATAAGGAGAGGGGCCTTTCACTTTTACCATGTATAATATATAAAGTGAAATTTTAAAAATATATATATTTATAGTTAAATAAAAATTATAGGAGACCATTTTTTGGGGGGCTAAGCTTCTACACTGCACCTCAGCGGACCAGACTGAAAAGAAAAATGCAGTCACTCCTAGGAAATTCCACATCACCAAAGCAAAACTAAGTCGTTCCCTGGCCTTCTAAAAAGCAGAGAGAGATAACAGCCACATTTCCCAAACAGGCCAGTTTTACTCAGCTTGAGAATAAAGTTCCCACCGCTTTAATCCTTACCAGAAACAGGTAACTGCAGTGACCTGGCGTTAACCACTCAGCCGCCTCTCCAGTGCCTGTCTCCCGGTTTCTGCCTTACAAGGAGTGTGATTTAAAAATGATCCATCCACTTCTTCTTTGTTTATGCTTCCTTCCACCCTTCTCTGTCTATAAAGCCAACCTCCTCTGCTCCGTTCATTGGAACACTTACTCTATTTTTCACTTTTCTCTTTCTTTTTTTTTTTTTGCTGAGAGACAGGGAAAGATGATAGAAACCAATGCAGGAAGGGTGAGGAGACATCTTTGTTTTTTTTTGTTTTTTTTTTTTTTTTTGAGACAGGGTATTGCTCTGTTGCCCAGGCTGGAGTGGAGGGGTCCAATCACATCTCACTGCTGGGCCAAAGCAATCCTCCGTCTCACTCCATTCCCTGGATAGCTGGGACCACAGGTGTGCACCACTATGCCAATTTTTTTGTAGAGACAGGATCTTGCCGTGTTGCCCAGGCTGGTCTTGAACTCCTGGTCTCAAGCAATCTTCCAGCCTCAGCTTCCCAAAGTCCTGAGATTACGGGCATGAGCCGCCTCGTCCAGCTGTTTATTCTATTTTATAGAATGAAATGTTGCCCTACCTCTAAAACCGTAAAGCCACTTACAGTCTTTAAACTAAGTTATAATTTTTTTCTTTTGACAATATATAATATACATAGCTGTGATCTGTGAGTATAAACTTTTTCTTCATGACAATTATTTAGGTGTCGTGTGTTTTATCAACCATACCGGATCATGACAAATCCCAGGTACATTTTCAAACAGGATCATTTAGACTGGCTTTTTTTTCCACTCAGCATAAGCCTCTGGAGATTCATCCAGGTTGCTGTGTATATGAATAGCGTGTTCTGTTCTGTTTTTTTTTGTTTTGTTTTGCTGAGTGTATTCCATAGTATAGATGTATCTGTTTGTTTAACCATTCTCTCCTTGAAAGATAACTGAGTTGTTTCCAGTTTTTTTTACTATTATTCATAACACTGCAGAACCATTCACGTGCAGGTTTTGTGTTTGTGCGAACATAAGACTTCATTTCTCTGGGACAAATGCCCGGGAGCACCCTTGCTGGATTGTATGGTAGTTGTATGTTTGGTTTTTTAAAGAAACTGCCAAACTGTTTTCCAGAGTGTTTGCATTTCACGTTCCCACTGAAAATGTATGAATGATCTGATTTCTCTGCTTCCCGGCCAGCCCTGGGTTTGATTACTTTGTTTTGGCCATTCTTACAGGTGAATAGCGCATCTCACTGTGGTTACACTTTACACTCCTCGATAGCTGATGATGTATCTTTTCATATGATTATTGCTCTTCCGACATCCTCTTCGGTGAAATGTCTCTTCGTGTCTTTTCCCATTTTCTAATTAGACTGTTTGAATTTATTCACAGTTACATTTTGAGAGTTCTTTGTATATTCTAATTACTAGTCCTGTGTTTGATTTGTAGCCTGCAATTATTTTCTCCCCATCTGTAGCTTTTCTTTCCATCCTCTTAACAGGGTCTTTCACTGAGCAGAAATTTTAAAATTTTTTAACATTTTTTTTTTTTTTGAGATGGGGTCTCACTTTGTTACCCAGGCTGGAGTGCAGTGGCACAATCTTGGCTCAGTGCAAGCTCCACCTCCTGAATTCAAGCAATGCTTGTGCCTCAGACTCCCGAGTAGATATGACTACAGGCGTGCACTACCACGCTCGGCTAATTTTTGGATTTTTAGTAGAGACAGGGTTTTAACATCTTAGCCAGGCTGGTCTTGAACCCCTGACCTCAAGTGGTTTGCCACCTTGGCCTCCCCAAGTGCTGGGATTACAGGCGTGAGCCACCGTGCCTGGCCGAGTTTTCAATTTTGATGAAGTCCAAATTATCAAGTTTTCCTTTTATGAATTATGTTTTTGATATCAAGTCTAAGAACTCTTTGCCTAGCCCTAGATCCCTAAGGTTTTCGCCTATGTTTTTTCTAAAAAGTTATTATTTTATATTTAAGTTTATGATCCATTTTGAGTTAAATTTTGTGAAAGGTATGAGACCTAAGTAGAATTTCTTTTCTTTTCTCTTTCTTTCTTTCTCTTTCTTTTTTTCTTCCTCCCTCCCTCCCTCCCTCCTTCCTTCCTTTCTTTCTTTCCAATTGCCCTAGTTTGTTGTAAAGGTAATATTTCTTCTTTTTTTTTTGAGACAGAGTCTCACTGTCACCCAGACTGGAGTGCAGTGGCACGATCTCACCTCACTGCAACCTCCGCCTCCCAGGTTCAAGCAATTCTCCTGCCTCAGCATCCTGAAGAGCTTGGAACTATAGGCTCATGCACTATCACGCCTGGCTGATTTTTATAGTTTTAGTAGTGACAGGGTTTCACAATGTTAGCCAGGCTGGTCTTGAACTGCTGACCTCAAGTGATCTACCCGCCTTGGCCTCCCAAAAAGGTGATCCTTCTTACGTTGAATTGGTTTTGTAGCTTTGTCAAAGATCAGTTGGACATATTTGTCTGGGTCATTTCTGGGTTCTCTGTTCTGTTCCACTGATTAATGTATCTACTCCTCTGCCAAATAACCAATCTTGATTACTGCAGATATTAATATATACCAAGTCTTGAAATGGGGTAGAGAGATTCCCGCCCATTTTATTATTTTTCAGAATTGTTTTAGCTATTCTAGTTCCTTTACCTTTCCATTTAAATTTTAGAATAATCTCATCTAGCTGGGCACAGTGGCTCATGCCTGTAATCCCAGTACTTTGGGAGGCCAAGGCAGGCAGATCACCTGAGGTTGGGAGTTCAAGACCAGATTGACCAACATGGAGAAACCCCACCTCTGCTAAAAATACAAAATTAGCCGGGCATGGTGGCACAGGAGGCTGAGGCAGGAGAATGACTTGAGCCCAGGAGGCAGATGTTGCGGTGAGCCAAGATCACACCACGGCACTCCAGTATGGGCAACAAGAGTGAAACTCTGACTCTAAATAAATAAATAACTAAATCTTGTCTATCTCTACAAACAACCTTGCTGGAATTTTGGTAGAAATTACATTAAACCTGTGTATCAATTTGGGAAGATTTCGGCATCATCACTATGCTGAGTCTTTCAACCCATGAGCACAATATATCTCTCCAGGTATTCTGATATTCTTGGACTTCTTTCACGAGCTTCGTGTAGTTTTCAGCATACAAATCCCGTACATGTTTTGTTAGATTTACACCTTCCATATTCCTCTTTCTCTCTTTTTAGTGATTGTAAATGATATTGTAGTTTTAATTTTGGTGTATGTTAGTATATGTAAATAAATAAATGTTTACATAATTACCTTGTATCTTGCAACCTTGCTGAACTTACTTATTTGTTCCAGGAGTTTTGTTTTGATTTCTTGGGATTTTCTAGATAGACAAGCATGTCCTCTCCCCGATGGGATGGCTGGATTATCTGGTAATTCTATGTTTAGCTTTTTGAGCAACTGTCATACCATTTTCCACAGTGACTGCACCATTTTACATTCCCAGCAGCAGTACACAAGGATTCCAGCCTCTTTACATGCATGCCAACACTTACAATTTTGTGGGCATCTCATTGTGGTTTTGATTTGCATATTCCTAATGATTAGTGACAGATATTGATTACCTTTTCTTGGGCTTACTGGCCATTTATGTTTGTTTGTTTGGTTGGTTGGTTTTTTTGGTGAAATATCACCATCCTTATGATGTCTGCAGGGTCTGTAGGGAAACTCTCTTTTGCATTCCTTACATTGATACTTTGTGTCTTTCATTTTTACCAGACTTGCTAGGGATTTGTCTACTTCATTTGTCTTTCAAAGAAACAGCTCCTTGTCTCAAATTTTTTTTTCTTTTTAATTCTATTGATTTCTTTTCCTATCTTTATTGTTTGTTTCCTTCTGCTTGCTTTGGGTTTATTTTGCTGTTCTTTTTCTAGGTTGAGGTGGGAGCGTCGATTGAGACTCTTC